GCCATAGGTACTTTCTATGGCATTTCACTTAAAGCACATAACCTTCAAAAGAGATATGATTTCACACATTTCATAGACGATGAAACAGAATTATAAGTAATTTTCCTAAGATTATACTCCAGGACTTAACCCATAGTTTATCTAACTCTAAAGCCTGGGTGTTTTAAAATAAAAACAAACACAAAGACTCTAAACCAAGTTCACATTGTTTTTCATATTGTGCTACTTCCTGAGGATTAAGGACAGAGGAGGTGCTATAGAAAAAGAAACTTTAAAGACCCCTCCAAGGGTCCTACATGCATGCTGTGCAACATCACACAAGTTATCAAAGAGTGATGGTTATCTCCTCCATCGCTAAATACACAAGGAAGTCAAAAAGGATTGCTAGAAAACCATAGACATCTTTATTAAACAAAGGTATCTAAATATGAAACTATTCTTTCTCAACATATTCTCCATCAGGGTCTAAACACCCCCAGGTGTGATGCTGTAGGTTAATGCCCTGGACTGCAAAGTCAAAGGTCAATGGTTCAAGATCACCAGCTGCTCCTTGGAAACTCTCTACAGGGTCTTTATGGGTTGGAACCGACTAAATGGCACTTAATAACAACAACAAAAACCCTTTCTTGAAAAATTCTGTGCTCTTCAATTTCTTGTTTTTGTTATATGCTATCAAGTCCCAATTCATTGCAACTCTATGAACATCACAAGGAAACACTGCCCAATTCTTCACCAACTTCACATTTATTATTATATTTGAGCCCATTTTGGGGGCCATGGTGTCATTCATCTTTTTTGTTGACCCTCCATTTTACCAAGCCAGGGACTGATCCCTTCTAACAACACATCCAAAGAATCAGAGATGAAGTCAGAGATGAAGTCTTGCCATTCTCACTGCGAAGGAGTATTCTGGATATACTTCTTCCAAGGCAGGCTTGTTTGTTCTTTTGGCAGTTCATGGTACTTTCAGTATTCTTTGCCAACACCATAATTCAAATGCATTGGTTCTTCTGTGATCATCCTTATTTATTGTCAAACTTTCACATGCATATGCATCAGGCACACAGTCTTCAAAGTGACATCTTTACTCTTTAATACTTTTGCAGGAGATTTATACCACATCAAAATGGCAATCTTAACATCCTTGAGGGATTCAAATTATGCTCTTTTTCAATATTCTCTGAGTTTAGGGACTAAAAAGGAGTCTGAAGAGGCAAAACCAAGGTGGTAGAATGGATGAAGCAAGGTTTCCCAATGAAAGTCTTCGAACAGCCCTTGCTGCCTTTGAAAAATTAGTAAAAACATTGTTGTGACTGACAAAAATTTTTTTTTCCTTGTTACAATTTTTCCAGCCTTTTTCTCACCAATGAAGTTGTTAAGTTTTCTTAAAATGTCTTCGTAAGTCCTTGTGGTTGTCCTGTGTCCTTAGAGAAAACTTAACCAAGATGACCTCTTTGGAATCCCCACAAACAGTCGCTATAACCTTCTGAGCTAACCATTCTGCCTTGAGTTAACTGGCATTGGTGGCAGAAACAATGGTGGAGATGGCATGATAGAATTTTGCAAGACCAATGACTTGCTTATTGCAAATACCTTGTACAACAGCCTAAATGGCAACTATATACATGGACCTTGCCAGATGTAATTCCCAGGAATCAATCTGACTACATCTGAGAAGAGGCGATAGAGAAGCTCAATGTCATCAGACAAAACAAAGCCAGGAGCAGACTGTAGAACAAACCATCAATTACTCAGGTAAGTTCAGGTGGTTGTTGTTGTTGTTGTTAAGTGCCATCGAGTCGGGTCCGACCCATAGCGACCCTGTATAGGTTTTCCAAGAAGCAGCTGGTGAGCTTAAGCTACTGACCTTGCAGTTCAAATGAGTTTGCAGTCTGATGCATTAGCCTACAATGCCACACCAGGAACCATGCAAACAGGGTGTATAAGACTCTAACATTGGGAATGGTTATCTTTGTCATCCCACTAGGCTTAAAAGGAGCCATCTCAGAAGCAGAAACAGATGATCCCAGGACCATCACGAAAGAAACTGAGTGGAGCATGATAACCTTACCTGGAAAAGTAAAGACAGTAGGAGCTGTGGAGAGGAAGCAACATTGAGAAAGAGCAGCTGTGGGCTTCTGAGTGCCCATGGGCAGGAGGCTGGCTTGTAGAAGGTGCCCTTTGGGCATTTACAGACTGGCTAAAGGAGTTTTGTAACACTTGTCCAAGTAGGGCAGAGCCTAAGGGACCACATGGCTGAGAGGCCAAAGACAAGAGTGAGGTGTATCTGCAGTATGAAGACAAGAGGTGTTCCTGATTTGAAAACTGCTCCATTCTGTGTTATTTCTGATCCTGAATAGTAAACTGTTCACTTCCCTAATAAACCCCATAATCATGAGTATTGTCATGAGTTCTGTGTGATCATTGCCAAGGATTATTGAACCCAGATGTGAAGCAGCAAGAGCTGTGGGCAGGATGGTTGGTGTCAGAATGAATGTTATAGGGTGGAGGCATATCTGACCTCAACGTCTGGCTATTTTGAGTTTGATTCTCCTTCTCCAGAGGAAGTCAGAGTGGCCTCCACGTAGTTTTGTGAAACCAGAGGAAGTCAGACTTGGCCTCCACGTAGTTTTTCCAAATATCCATAAATATTGGAACATAGTCACACCCACTTGTACTCATTTACTCAGAAGCTTGGAGTGATGGAACCTTTAGCATCTCATGGTGATCCATCAGGGTTAATCAAATACCTATATAAAGTTCTTAGAGTAGGATCTGACAGCTGCCCCTCCATCCCCTACTCCTACCATAAAATGCATTTCTTCCTAGAATTGTTACTGAATAGGGAACTTAAAGGAATTACTTAACATGCTTGTTCTAAACATAGTATGTCACTGACATTTGTATTTTAGCAATTTGTTCGAGCAATAATTTTATTTACAGCACTCTTAGCTGTTCCACAGGAGAAAGATGAGGCTTTCTGCTCCCGTAAAGATTTACAGCCTCGGAAACCCTGGACAGGGTCACTATGAGTCGGAAACCGGCTCCAAAGCACTTAACAACAACATTTTAATTTAATTCTTTAGCAAAGGGCAGTAGGAAGATGCATAAAGACAAGATACATGATAATTTGGTAAACTTTAACAATTATTTATTCATAAAACTAATTCTATATTACTTATAAATATTTTATAAACTATATGCTTCTTTCAAACATGCATCTTGAAAGAATTTACACTCAGCTTTGAATGTTGTTGTTAAGTGCCTTCAAGTTGGTTCCGACTCATAGCAACCATGTATAGGGTTTCCAAGCAGCAGCTGGTGGTTTGAACCATCAACCTTGTAGTTAGCAGTCCAGTGCTTACTCTACAGCACCACACCAGGACAGGCAATGCTTAAGTAAGGGGTTCGTACTCATTATCTCAGAGCTAGTTAGCTTTCTGAAGAAACATGCTTAAAAAAAGAGTTCAAGGAACTCATAAAATGCTTAACCCACCTTGATGATTGCTATAAAGACCGACTTCCTGAAGCAAACACAAAACAGGTAACATATTGTTAACTTCCTATGGCAACAATATGGACTACTAGAATTTTTCTCAATAGTCAGGGCTTCCATTTTTAGAGTTTGAATGTGTAAAAAGAGGAGGCAGGAATGAGAAGGAAGTTACTCATAAGAGGAAAACAACGACCCTAGTGAGAATCTTGCTTAGAAGCTTGGAGTAGAGAAACAATTTCCACCAACATCAGTAAGCACAGACCCACACTCAGCAGAGCCTCAATTCCCACTCATGGCTACCTCAGGTGTTAAAGAGTACAACTGCTTCATACAGTTTGTTGCCTATAATCTTTATGGAAGACTGTGGCTGCTGGGGGCAGTGGAACCTTTAGGTTAGCAGTCAAATGGAAACTATACCACCTATCCTCTTACAGATCTAAATGTTAGACGGCTCTTTCTATATAACCAACACAGCAACTACTGTAAATCTTGCTTCTTAATTCAAAAAAATTCAGAAAAAAACATGTCTAGTGCTTAATAGTCAAGGGCAAGCAAGCATTTTTCTGTATGATTCAAGTTATGTAATACAAAACCAAACAAAATCTCACGAATGAATTACTTTACACTATTTAACTGGGTGGGTGGGGGGAATATGAAGAAACCCATTCTCTGAATAAACTAGGTGACATACTGATCCATCTCTCACTTTCCTAAATATTTGCCAGTCTCTTTAAGTTTGCTCGGAAATGTTCTTGCTTAGGACGTTGTGAGTAATTTGGGAGGAAGAGGTTGTGTTATCGTAATCATTCAGCTAATTCAAACAATTCTTTTTCCTAAAAATGATCTGGACGAGGTTGCCCAGCCCATTAAAATATTTTTTTCTCTTCCCTAGGCCTTTATCTGAGCAATGCCCAGCTTAACAGATAAATGGAATTGCCTCCTAGCAAGAACCGTTGTTTGTTAACGATATGTGCAAAACCGAAAGCCAAACATCCCTAGCACACAGTTTCTTAAGTTCCTGTTTTTCAAGGGCGTTTTCATATTTTATCTTATGAGTTTACCTAACGCGATTTAGCACCTCTGCCGCAATTCTGCACTCTGCTGAGAATCGGCCTACCTCCATCCAATAAAGTTGTTCAAAGTAACAAACGTTCTAGGAAAATAGCAAAATAGGAAAAGGGGAAACATTTCTGGCACTGTATTAGTGCTGGAAAGTGCCATTCGTTTCAAAGGGAGAAATGTACCTGGTGTGAATTGTATCACACGTCTTTGATCAACACCAGACCTCAATTTATTCATGGCTTGGTACAATAGCTCACAAACATGGGCTCTTGAGCCTTAGATGAATGGGGGCTGGGGGCCCACCCCGGAGCAGTAGGCTGCTGCAGAGGCGCTTCCCCTTCGACCCACATGGTGCGCTCGGAGGCGGGCCCGCGTGCGGGGCGGGCGCCGAGAGAACTGGGCGTAGGGCGCGGGTGGCGGCGGCGGCGGCGCAGTCCGCACCATGGCGTACCCCGGGCACCCTGGCGCCAGCGGCGGCTTCTACCCAGGCGGGGTAAGTGCTACCTGTGCAGGCTAGCGGCCCGGGTGTAAACCCTTGTCTACAAAGCAGCCAGCGCCTGCGCACTTCTGTGCGCCTCCCGCTCATCGCTGCTCTCTGCCGGCTGCCTTGCCCAGGCCCCTGTGGGTCGTCTTCTCTCCGTTTTCATTTCCCTCCGTTTTCTTCTTCTTTCATAGCTCCTCAGGATGAGAGAGCGGGAGGATTGTAACCCAGGAAATCTACCCTGTGGCTCTTCACTACGCGGCGTCAAACCGTGCAAATTGGGTGTTAGTTTCCTCCCCCTCCCGGTTTCCCCTGAAAAGAACAGCCATTTTAAGATAGAGTGGTCCAAAGAGCCACCTCCTTCCCTTTACTAGAAAGTGAGAAGAAGAAAAAAATAAAAAGAGGGGGAATCAGCTAGCGTGAAAGTCGTCGGGTAGAAAGGCCGCCTCGCCCCGCGTCGGGGATGCGCGGCATCGTGGGAACTGTTTCCAAGGAGTGTTGATGCTGCGGCTCATCTTGGAATACCACGTAGCCAGGCGCCGCCCTCCTACCTCCCAGTACGTCTGTCACTGTGTCCGTACGTGGGTCTAAAACTCTTTTAAATGCCCTGCAGACCCATGAAAAAATAAAAGGAGAACGATTTCGGGCCCAGCTCTTGCTTTGCTTGCCTGGGCTGTATTCACCTCAATAACCTGCAGGTTGCTGGGGAGTTCTGAAGTTGCTTTACTTTTGCAAACAATCACTTTCATGACAACTCACTTTGGTGCAGGTCAACAGTTTGTAAGTTATAATGGGAGTGAAATGGAAGAAAAGGGGAGAGTGATGGCAGTTAGAAGGTACTCGGCCGTGGGAGAAGTAGCGACGTGACTGAGTGCACAATTGCCTGGCTTTGCACAAAGGCACTCAAGGAGAAATGAATGAAACTGTAGAGGAGTGATGCATTTGTGTTTTCTGTTACAGCAATATGGAGGGGCTCCCGGAGGGCCTTCATTTCCCGGACAAACTCAGGATCCGCTGTATGGTTACTTTGCTGCTGTAGCTGGACAGGTTAGCTTTCCCCTCTAATCTTAAAGATACAACAGATGTCTTAGTCATACTCCCTTTTGTTACACTGGTGAGAAAAGAAAAAAAAAAAAATCTTTCTTTGGGAAATAAAACCTTTTATTTTTGCAAAAGAGAGAAAAGAAAAAAATTGACAGTCAGCTATTAACTTTGGAATATTCAGCATAAAAAGATGTACATTGATTCAAGTCTAAACTATACTTGTGTTTGATTGAGAGTAAGTTTGAATAGAATAGGGGATTACAGGTAGAAAGATGGTGCAAAGTGGTTTCGAGAGAAGAAATTCAAGATCTGGTGAACATACACTCCTGTCTGTGTGACTTAAAGAAATGTATTAATTATGTAGCCAAATTCTAATAGGTACTTTTTTTGGGTTGAATGTGATTATTAATCAGTAGCCACCCACTTAAATAGGCAAAAACCCACCTTCTACATAAGACATTTGCTATTCTTTCCCTATTATCAGGAAGTTAATCTTGTGGACAGTTTAGTTTCTCTCTCATGCAGATTCTGTTGCTAGATCTGCTCGTCTATGCCCTTATTAGGTGTTGTGTCCTATTGACTCCCCAAGACCTTTCACTTTTCTACCTTCTGAGTTTTAGTACAAGAGAATCAACAGGTGTTGGCTTACACTGAGGGAGGGAGGACATTGTCCCTAGCTCATAAGATCACTGTATATATCTGAATCCGGCTTATTTTTATTATCAGAAGCTACAAAGAACAAGATCTGCATGGGAAAATTGTGATTAACTCAGTACATGGTTTTCACTCTTTAATGTAAAAATGCCATAGACTGTTATGGCATAAAAGCCTAAGACCACCTTATAAAACAGCACCCTAAGAAATACAGTTTGAGAAATTGGATGGAAAATTGAGTCTAAAATTGGAAGAGCTTCCTTGTAAGTATCTCCTTACAATCTATTAATGATCCGTATCTTTGAAAGCACAAGATACAGAAACTTCAAGCCTAGCATTCTTATATTGCTTGTGCCTGCAACTTGTAAGTGACCCTACCTGCTTAGCTTTCAGTAGCCCTGGCTTGTAGTCACCAAAGTCTTTCACATTATTGACCCTGCTCCTTCACTTACGTCTTTTAATACCATGCCCTTGGTAGGAGTTTTATTTTGAAATCCCTAAAAAAATTACACAAACCTACTTCTGATCTAGTGCAGCCAGTGAGTGGGCATTGAGAATTAGTACCTTTCAGATAGAATTGTGTTGATGAGAGAAAAACATTCATGAAATCTTAAAGTGACCAAGATGTCCTCTATATGCGTGAAGCAAGCTTTTTATTTTCTGATCTCAGTTGCGCACCCCATAAAAGACAAAACAAGCATACAAAAAAAAAAAAAGCCTCTACTGTAGAGGCTGGAATAAGATTTTTTTAAGCACTTAGGAAAATGATTTTACTTTCAAATGCTTATTCATTTTGGCAGTTTCCTAGCTCAGATGGAAATATGAGCAGTTGCCAAGACAGAAAGTAGTTTTATTCACACATCAAAAAATACCACAAATCAATGGAGGAAACTTTGAATTCACCTCAGTAGTTTTTGTTTTGTTTTTTAATTTATTAGAAGAGGAACCTTAGCTTAAAACTACTGATAAATGTGATTTTAAAATTTGGTAAAGGTGATCAGATTACCCAATAAGCAAAGCAAGCATGGCTTATTTCTGCTTACTGCTCTGTAGTAAACAGTTTCACTGCGTTTCACTGAAACTGCGCACTGTAGATTCGTAAGTAAGCACAAGTGAAGTCTATACTTGTTTAAGGGGTGTTCCATCCCTGACAGGAATTGTAAATTTGAACAGGCTTTGATTCTGTAGGAGGGTGGGGATTGGGAGACAGACAGGTGGCAGCCATTCTTAGAAGCAGAATCTTTGATGTGATGAGACAATGTGAAACTTCACTATAGATTAATAAATCACAAGTAAGATTGTGCTTCTCTGGCTTATTGGATGATTTGACACTGGTTTAAAGGAAGTGATGGAAAATATTCATAATACTAAATACAGAAGTAAAGAACATTCAGGCTTGTCAATATTCGTGAAATAATTAATTGCATTACATCTTGAAATTAAATGCCTGCTCTACTTAAGGTTTGGGAACTATGTATTTTTTGTTTATGTCTTTAATTATCCATTTGTGGAAAAGGGTTTGATAATTTGATAACTGTTTCATCCTTAAATTATTTTTGGAAATAGAGTGAGGGAACAAATGCCCACTTTTGAAAAGCATTACTAGAAAAAAAAAAAAATCTCATTATGAATGATGATACAGATTTTGTTGGTATTATTGCATTGACTCCTGAAGAGAACCAAAAAAATACAGATCACTGTTATGATTCCTTTTCCTATTTTTGCCCCCAAAAGGATGGGCAAATAGATGCTGATGAGTTGCAGAGATGTCTGACGCAGTCGGGCATTGCTGGAGGCTACAAGCGTAAGTTGACGGTCACAGGATTTCTCTGAAAGTACTTTCGTGTTTCATATTTTAGCTTTCACTTGTGATTATGGAGTCCTGGTGTAGGATAGGTACTGGAAACACTAACTGCTCCTTAGAAACCCTATACTGGGTCTCACTGAGTCAGAACTGACTCAACAGTACTTAACGACAACAGCAACACTGCCTTTAAGGAAATGGCTTTTCTGATCTAACACAATTTAGAATTTCAAAAGCCAACTTGGGTTGTTCATTATTATACAATATACATTTGAAAATAATTTTTAACAAATTGTTCTACTCTCACCACCAGTTTAATGGATTTCTTAGGTATGGGTCTATGTGTCTGGAACCATTTGAAGCAGTGAGAGAGTTTCGGTGGCTACCTTCACAGAGCACACAGTAAGGTGCTGAAATGAAATCTGCCAGGTCAGGTGTCATTAATGAGAGGAGCTAGCACTTAACTGCTGCCTGTTTGCCAAGAGCTTGCTTTGCCCGAAGCCTGGTGGCATTCAGGGCTTTATGTGGCCAGTTCTGCCTTTCTAGGCCTGAGTAGCTGGTTCTGTCCCCCAGGTCTTCATTAGAGGATGTGTTCAGAAAGTGTGTTCTGGTTAAATAGGAAATAGCTTTCCTAATTTCTGAATTTGTTACACTAATGCACCTTCATTACCTCCTCCATTTCCTGCCTACTAGATCTCTGCCCTGTCATGCAGCCCTTACACCACCTTCCTGCCATGGCTGCAGACAAAGAAATGCCAACCAGGCTGACTGGGGGCTTCTCCTTCATCAGCCCAGACACACATCTCCTGCTTGCTCTTCAAATCCCATCTTGACCATGACAAATTTCCAGAAAAGAATAGTGTCTCAAGTCAGCTGCAATACCTGCAGGTTAACCTCTTTGCAGGTTGTTAATGGAGACAGAACATCATATTGAGCCCCAGTTTCATGTTAACCTGTGAATTAAAGTACTGAAGCTAGATTGTACACTTTATGACATACAATGGCACTCTTTGATCATTTTATGAGGGATTTTCTAGCTGACTTTCTTTTTGAAATCTTGTTTCTCTTTTTTTTTTTGCTATGGTTTATATGACTTCACTAGCCTATAAATATAAAAGGAACTTTTTGTATTTCTATCAATTTATAGGATCCTAATAAAAAGAAACACTAAATTAGGAATTTTTTACTGTTGTAAGCAACCTATTTGAATTGTAAATTGTTAACTTGTAACAGTTGGTTTTATGGACAAGGAAGTTGCAATAGCAGGGTTTGCAGAAGTATCACAACACAGACTAATTATTCTATACCCTTTTCAGTAGTAAGGTGTGGCAAGTTTTATAATATGACTAACAAAGTAGGATGCATCTCCATGGAGAGCAGTCCTTTTAAATTTGTCATTTAAGAAAACCACATTTATTAAATGAGTAATACATAAGATATGCGTCCTGGTGTGGGACTGTAGGATAAGCACTGGACTTACTAACCACAAGATTGGTGGTTCAACAACAGTAATACGTAAGCTATTTCCTGAGTCATCACGACCATGTGATTATTTGATTTGTTTACTGTCGTCTATTCCTGAAATATTTTTCACCAATACAGGAGAGGGTGTAATGAACCATAAAACTAATTCTACTTGTTGAGGTACCAGAGTGAGTTTTGCAGTCCAGAAAATATGCAGCCATTGTTTTTACACCCAGCTTCTAAACCTAAAGGTGCTGATCCAAGTGTGGGGGGAGGATGGTGTGTTTGTGAGGGAGTGGCGCTGCAGTCCACTGTCTAGAAGCCTCTTAACCACTTTCAAAGGAAGCAGTTTGTTTCATCTGTAACTGTGCCCTGGTCTATTTGAATCCAGTCCCACTTATCTTAATTTCATGTGCAAATATTTTAGTATATACCTTTATAAAAGATAAAAACTCGCTTTTTCCCCCAGCTTTGAAAATCATGTTATTGTTAAGTGCCGTCGAGTCAGGTCCAACTCATAGCGATCCTGTGTAGAGATCTGAGAAAATGGCTGGTGGGTTTGAACTTCCAGCCTTGTGGTTAGCAGTCCACTGCTTATCCTACAGCACCACACTAGGACTCTTTCAAAACCATAATTACACCTAAAAATATTAATAGTACTATGCCATGCATTTAAAATAACTTTCTACTAAAAATTTTAAAGTTATATACATAACATTTTTCATTAAGGTAAATATTTGAAATTGTATTAATATAATTGTATTTTCTTGCTTTAACAGCTTTTAACCTGGAGACTTGTCGGCTTATGGTTTCAATGTTGGATGTATCTTTTACTTTGGTGGCTAAAGTACTCGTTTTGAGACAAAAAAATGAATTGCTTCTTATAAGAGTTCGTTTCAAAATTAATACTCAGTAAGCGAAAATGACTGCTAGAGAGCTTTTTGAAATTTTGGTATGGACAAAGCAAGGAAGTTTCATAAATAAACTATTAGTCAATGAAGAATCTAAGGAAACATCAAAGTAGTAGAACAGATATAGAAATAAGTGGTCAGGGAAGCTTTTCATTATTCTTTCCTAGAACGTTGAATGTTCTGCATGATTCACACCTGACCTTCAAGGCATGGAATTTTTCACATAACAGTTGTTGGACTCAGTTTAGCCCTACAGCACATTTGCGAAGAGTTTAACTAGTGCTGAATCTGCAGTGCCTTCTATCCTGTCTTGTTTTCCAAAAGAAACATTCTTAGGTGTGGGAGGGCTATACAAGGGCATGGTCTCACCAACGAGTACACTCAGACGGAAGGGCAGACACTCCTGGAACACCCAGAAAAGGAAGCCCAGATCCAATTAGGAGTCTGCATTTTACACAGGGCTTGTGATGGAGCTGTTCCCTCCTTGTCAGAACATCACACATAGACTATACTTTTCCCACAGTGAAACTAGGTGCTCAGTGCTTTTTTTCCATAGGCCCTTGTCTTTTTAGTGTATTATCCCAAGAAGAAAATAAAATCATTTTTGAAACTTTATAGCAGAAAGAATACTAAATTCTCCTTATCCTTGATCTGTGAGGAAGTGTTGCAAAAGAGAGATGCTCTGATCCTTGATTACTGTTCAGAGAGACATGTCTGGTACAATGGGTTTCAATGAGTTTAAAGAACTCTGGTCTGTACTGAATGGCTGGAGACAGCACTTCACCAGCTTTGACAGTGACCGAAGTGGTACAGTGGATCCTCAGGAATTACAGAAGGCCCTGACAACTATGGGTGGGTATTGGCAACACCAAATTGTCAGTTCACTGGTAAAGCTTTTGTATTTCTAAAGATGTTACTTTTTCTCTATTGGGTTGTTTTTTCCTGCATGTGTTAGAAATTGTGTGTACTCATAATTATTATGAGTTTGCAGTCCTCAAATAATTGTGTTTAATTTTCAAATGATGTCTTTTATAATCTTTTTTTTTTTTTTGGTGGGGGGAATGCTAATTTTTCTCTCTTTCAGGATTTAGGTTGAGTTCTCAGGCCGTGAATTCAATTGCAAAGAGATACAGTACCAATGGCAAGATCACCTTTGATGACTACATTGCTTGCTGCGTCAAACTGAGGGCCCTCACAGGTATGTTCTATGAGGTTGCATCTCTCCTGTGGGCCAAGATTTCCATTTTAAGACACTTTATTTCTCAATATTTCTGAACTTTTATTCTCACCATTATAGTTATTTTCTAACACCAGTGAATTTTTAACAGTTCTGTTAAGCATATCAAAGGGCACTCTCATGGCCCTAACTGAAAGCTTGGCAATTTGAACCCATCCAGTGGCTGCATGGAAGGAAAGCTGGTGATCTGCTCCAGTAAGGATTACAGCCCATGGGATTGCTGTATACTATCACATAGGCTTGCTAGGTGTCGGAATCAACTCACAGCAGACAGCAAATGTATCAAACACAATCTAAACACATTGAAACTTATCTTTGATATGGTGAAAAACGTGAAACTGTTCACTGCAGATTAGTAAATAAGCACAACTAAGTCTCTTGCTTGCTTCCTGGGGAAACTTTCCCTGTCAGAGATTATAAATTTGAAGTCTTTGATTCTGTAGGAAAATGCTGTGGGGCTGGGAGAGAGACCGGTACCAGCCATACCTAGAAACAGAATCTTTGATGTGAGATTTGCTGTGATTTCTTCATGGGCTGTAAAATGTTCAGTTTTAGCCTTCTTTCCTAATTCCTCCTATTGGAAAGTGATTTAATACAGTGGTCACATGAAGCTGAAATGAGGCTACTTCAGTAGTCTGACTATTCCCTGTACTCTTTTCTTTTTCTTTGTCATTACTGTCTTTAATTTTTTATTCTCGTTAACTATGGTTTTGTGATTCTTTACATCCTAAAACACTTGAGAACAAGCTTTTTATTAATGCAGTTCCTTTTTTTGATGGTACAGAGGTCAAATAGGTCATATATTTCATCACCTACTAGGTCAGATCCATCCATCCATTTCCTAATTAAACAATATCCCTATTATTAAGAAGTCTGAAATTCTATGCTTTCCAAACTATTAAATAATCACCTTAGAAGTAGACAACTTTTACTAACTCTGGGGGAAGATATTTCCTCGCAGCTCCATATGGTGGGGGCGGGGGGGGAGAGGAATTGGCAAATGTGTGCATATTGTAGAAATTGTTGCATATTAACCTGTTCATATTCATATAGTTGACATCCTTGCTTTGACCTTTTATTATATAGTCTGGTCGTACAATCTAAATACTATGTTAAATTGAATCCAATGCCAAAACAAGAAAAGAGGTAAAGTAAACCATAAATGTTTACTGTGTTTTACAGACAGCTTTCGAAGACGGGACACTGGTCAGCAAGGTGTTGTGAACTTCCCATATGATGATGTAAGTTTCATTGAATTAGACTAAGGGGGACAAGATCAGTTTCAAATAGTGTCCCTTTTGAAATTCACTATTAAGGGCATCTTAATATACCAGAGTACTCAATGATTAAACAGTCAGAAGGAGTTGCTGGCCGAAATTTAAAACTCACTGATAATTTTAGAAATTCCATAAGTGGCAGAAACTTCTCTCAACTGCTAATCTACAGGTTGGTGGTTAGCTGCTATTAACATTACAGCCCAGAAAACTATGTAGTAGTTCTCCTCTATAGTACAAGGGGTTAACATTGCAATAACTCAACTGCAACTAATAATAATATAACATGTAATTTTAGTTAACAGTTTATAAGTTTTTATTAATCTAAGTTCTGCTCTGTTAAAAACTGAAGTATTCTAAAACTGAGAAAAATCTTGGAGGAGAAAATAAAACTAAATGAATAAATTTATTGTTAGGCTTGTCTGTAGTTAGCCCAGCATCCGACAACCACTATTTATTTAACTAGACCTCTGTATTAAAATGACCCATGTGTAAGGGACTGTAAGTGCTTGTACAACTTACAGAGGATGTAATAATAATAATGTTTTTCTCACTGAGTTATTGTGGGATTTTAAATTAGAAATGTTCTTGAAAACATCATGTAAATGTGCCATGTGCTTTTGCCTTCTCTATACAAATCCTCTCAGTCACTGAGAAGTAGCTTTGACATGTCAAAGCTGTACTCTGCATACCTCTGTTCTTCATTGAGAACATAAGGCTCAAGCTTAAATCTCAGTGTTAAACATTAGTTGTTGAGCAGCCAACCTGAATGAGTAACCAATGGAAACAGAACCAAGTGGCCCTCTTCAGCACATTAGTTGGATGTATATAAATAAGCTGGGGAAATAGTTTTTTCTCCATTTTTTTTACAGCCAATGATTTCATTTTTAAAAATTCCTTTTAGAATAGGAATCACAGTGATTCCTATTCTAAAATACTTCTTCGTTGCAAAGTACAAAGGTGCACCTATTTTTGGTTTAACAGCTGCTGAGTTATGGGTATCCTTTTAAAAGGTTCTATAATATGTGTGTGTAAAGAAGCTTATTCTCTCTGCTAGAAGGTGTGTTCTTTTTGGCATGCATTAACTTCTCAGTTGACATCCCACTGCTCCCAGAGATCAGGAGAGTGTGTAGAGTGGAAAGCTTTGATATCAAAAGATTTCTAAATCCTGGGTCCTAGTTTCCTTTTCTTGGAAGTAGAGAGAACAACTTGGTCTTATGTGAGTGCTACAGAAATTCATGGCAGCATGAGTAAAGCTGGTGTTGGGAACCTAGCGGTCTATTGCTGAGTGTTTGTTGTGAAGCAAACATTTCTCAGCAAGTACCGGAGCCTCCAATTTTAGGTTTCTAAATTACAGTGCAGAGTCAAATGTTGTGTCTCCCATACAGGATTTCTTTTAAGGGACTGAACTGCTGAAAGGCACTCCTTTAAAGGGAGTACTGTGTATACTGGAGTCCAATGTGCTATAACAGTGTAAACTAAACTGTAATTTGTATCTTCGGATTACAACTTTTGACAACCTGGTGTGGCACTGTCGGGTAAGCACTGGACTGCTAACCTCAAAGTCAGTGGTTCAATCCATCATGCACTCCTTGGACACCCTATACAGGGTTGCTATGAAGTTGCCTTTGACCACAACCATGTCTAGAGCCTCAGCTATGTGGAATTTAAATAATTCTCTATTCATTGAAATACAGTTGGCTTCCTATATGAAGCTTAGATGTGAGAACCCCCATATTTTGCCTCACCTATGGGGAAAGAAATTTTCCATTTATCATTTACTTGTATTTAATTTTTTTTTTCTTTTTTAATTTAAAATTCAAATTAGAAAATCAAAATGCAAGCTACCTAAAAATGGGAGAACCAAAACCAAACCGTCTGCCCTCGAGTCACTTATGATTCTTAGCAATCCTCATGGGGTTCCGAGACCGTACATTTTACAGAAGCAGCCAGCCTCATTTTTCTCCCGCAGAACTGTTGGTGGATTTGAACTGCTGACTTGGTGGTTTGCAGTACAGTGCTTACCTCAAGGCACCACCAAGGCATGTATTAAGTGACATTACCTGTAATGTAACACAAAATTTTCTCTTTCAGTTCATTCAGTGTGTCATGAGTGTTTAAATCAAGAGGAAGCTGTCCGAACATGCTCAACATTCCTTGTTGGTTTCACTTGCTTCTCTGCCTTCAGTAATGACTAATGTGTGTAAACTTACATTGCCACTTACCGGTAACAGCTTGTTATAAAGTTTATTGTGTACAGCTTAACTTTTGTGTTTAGTTTTGATAATAAATTCCTTGGAATTTGAATAATATATGATCAGGACTGTGACAGTGTTTTGAACTTCCACGAACCTTATTTTCTTGCTAATTCACTTTTATGCAAATGTAAGTATCCAGATGTCTAAGGTGCATTATCTATTTTTCATTGTAAGATACTAAAAAGTTTTAATCTGACGACAGCTGTTATCTTCTTCCAGCAAAGCTTTTCCATGGTATTGAAAATGTTAATGTATGAAGTATTCCTGTGTACATGATTAGACTCCTTTGGCTGTAAAAGGAATATTCAGTATGTTAGTGGAAACTTAGTACAGGTTTGAAGCCTTATAGATATTTTCACAGCTTTATGATTGGACAGTAAACTTGAGTGATTATTTTCTTCCTGTTTAAAGCCTATTGAATAATTTGAGTGGTAAGTACTGTCATCAAGCCCTTCTCTGTCATCTTCCATGAAATATTAATATATCTATTTTGAATATGCCATTTGCTCACATTTACATTAAAAATATATAATGCAAAAGCACTTGATATAGTGTACCCAAATTTTGATGTGGTTTACAACTATAAGAATCATGAATTTCTTTTTTTCTTTCTGTATTTTTCTTAATGAGCAGGTATTACTTTTTTAATGGAAGCTTTTTTAAAAAAAAAACCCACAGACTTTGAAGTAAGATCTGGATCCTAATCTAGAGTGTGCTTCCTACTAAATATATGAGTTTGCTCATTTTAGGGACTTTGAGAGCGTCAGTTTCCTCATCTGTGAAAGGATAACACCTCACAGGAAGCTGGTAAAGATTAAAATCTGGTTTGCTATAATGAGAACCAAAAATGTCCATTTATCTTAAATTTGAAAACTGGTTTGATTTGTTTTTCTTTCCACGATAAAAAATGAAAATGAAACTAATCTACTGTCTCCTTACTCAGAGTATCTGTCATTTTTTTTATTGTTGTTAATTGCTGTTGAGTAGGTTCTGACTCGTAGCAACCCTCTATAGGGTTTCTGAGGAGTGGCTAGCGAGTTTTGAACTGCTGACTTTGTGGTCCAGTGCTTATCCTGCTGCACCACGGTCATATTTTAGGGCACAGTAACAAAGTTATCATTCATATAAATGATCAATTAGTTGTTAAGCCAGTACAAGGGAGCCTCTTAAATAAACATATGTTAGATATAACAAGAGACAGGTGGAAAGTAGAGAAGGGATATGCCACCCAGCTGAGGAATTGGCCCAGCAGATCCAGAACTCCTGGCTGACTAGACTATTGTATTTCTCAAACACGACGGTCTCTTCTGGGGCAGCATGGCAGGGAAAAGGAAGACATAAAGCTCCATAAAGTGTTTAAAAGCAAAAACAGTGGTTAAGGGGGAAAAAAAAGATTAGAGTTGTGCATTAAAATAACACATCTTTTATTGAAAGTCACTTTATTGATGTTACAATGAGAGTAACAGAAAACCATGGTATCTTATTAGCTTCAGAAGTGAATACTAATAAAATGGTGCCAGAAATTTGAACCTCATTACAGTGACCTTTAAAAACATCAAGAGATTGTTTACCTACAATGTCAGAACAATTTTATAACTGGAACAGCCATGAAACAAATTAAGCTGAGGAAAGCAGTTGCCATGTACATTTCAGTTGGTGTTTGCCAGAACCAGGTGATTTTTTAAAATAGAGTTAAGAATCTTGAAGACCAGAGTAGCAGAGAGAATGTAATGTTCACATGATGCAAATCTAAGTATATACACATGATTACCTGCCTTCCATGCTGCTGTTAACCCTCCCACTCTGTGTAGATAGGGCATCACCCCTCACGATGACAGATGGGGGAAAGACTAGCATATACCTACCCTGACTACTACAGTGTTAAGGTAGAACACCTTTGGGGAATGCTAGTTTCAAGGGGAAGTCTCCAAGTTAAAAAAAAATGTATATACTTAGTCAATGTTAATAAACCTTTAGTCAAGCACTTTTGTTAGTGTAAAAAAAATTTTCTTCCATACAAAACAAAAGTATTGGGTAATTTTTACCCATTAGAAAAACTGGTTATAGAATCAACAGTTTGATTTTGTGCTGGATTTAAAAAGAAATGTGGGGTTTCTTTGTCAGGCAGTGATACACATGTACAATTTAATAGGAATTCTTGTATTACTGAATAAATATACTGATATATTAGCACTTTCTGTATTGTGTTATCTGTATAACTTAGCACCGCTATATTTAAAAGATTTGGGGCTATTTGTATTAGAGCTTAACCTTCAAAACACTCATATCCTCAGTCTAACTTCATAAAACAAGAGGCTAATAGATTATAAATTTTAACACAAAAGGAAAATATCCTTTTCATAAGCCAAAAACTTAATTACTTTGTACAATATCTTCTAAAGATTGGTTGGTCTCATTGTATGCCTTTTTAAAAAAAATTGCATGTGGGCATTCATGTGTGCACACACACACATTTTGCTTTAGATTTTGACTTCAAGGATCTCTAGGAAGATGAAATGATGCCTCTGACCAAAATCCTGCCAGTCTTGAAGCATCCCCCAGTGTGATGCAGCTTTGTGGACAGGAGTGACCAGCACTGCCGTGGACTGGACCCTGAGGTATTTGTAAAGAGCTCACACTAGCCAAGCCTATAAAGCATGCAAGTCTGTCGTGGGCACCCAGCCCATCCCTGCTGCCATGCCAGTGGCCATGGGCTCTCCCTTCTCACTTGGCATCTAGGTTCTTCATGTACAGCCCCATTTCTGCTTCTGCACCAGAACTATGGCTCCGTTTCTTCCTCCTCACACTCACAGTACAGGAATGGGCTGGGCACCTCACAATGCAAACAAAAGTTACAACAGGGCACTTTATGAAAGTCCTCAGTTCTCCTAGACTGAGGGAAAACTTGGTGCACCCCAAATCAGAGTAGCCTTTCACCATTCTGAACGTCTCAGGGAAAAAGAAATTTGAGCCCTAAGTTTAGGTCTATTCCAAAGAAGTACTTGCTTTATATACCTAGGACAGTGAGAATGAGATAATTATCTGGACTGAATTAAAATATTTAAGTGACAATTTCAGAGGAAGCATTAAGAATGAAAGAAAAAAGTCGACATAGTATAAATGGGAGTCTGAACCTTTCATGGAAAATTCATGCCGACTTATCAAATGATATTTAAAATATGTGGCCCACATGGAGTCTCCTATGATACTATGGCTATAGTTGTTCCTATAAGTTCTAAACCTGGTTCTCCTCTTTGCATATACGCTGCAATCTACCTAATATCTCCCAATACATTCCCGTTTAGTTTATGTAAAATAAAATGCTGTTTTCTCTAGATAAGAATTTATTACATGAAATAACACAAGGAAATATTTAAAACCCTAAATATATAATGCTAAAGTAGAACTGACAACAGGAAATGAAGAAAGGGTGAAATGACTAAACTTGATTTGAAACACAGAAATAAATAGAAATGCCATTATTTCCTCTGGTTCACAGGTAAAAGTAAAAATGGTAAAAGTAGCCACAAGAGCCCTGGGACAAAAAATATGGTTAAATTATGCAAGTCTGAAAGGGAATCAACAGAAAAGCAATGCAAGCCTGTTAGGGAGTTCAAACATCAACAGTCCTATGGAAGTGTATAGACTATATACTTTTGTCTTTTCAGCAACTTCAAGTTTATGCAGAATTCTGTGCCGGAGTGACCATCAACACAATGAAGTGCAAACACAATTTTAAATACTTGCTTTTTTTAAGCAAAGGAATTTTTTTTTTTTTTTTAATCCTGTGGCATCAGTTACCAACTTCAAACTGAACAATATTTTTAGCATTTTAACTTTGCATTTGCTTTTTCAATCTACATTTTTTAAAGGGAACAGATCTAAGAGGTCATTCCTTGAAATGCTGAGTTTTTTAAAAAGTAACACCAACAAAAGCAATCTGAAAGCACTTCCTATGCTGCACTCTGTGATAAGCATTGGTTTATTCCTTTCCACAATTTGCCTGTGAGCTGGGAATCCTCAGTTGAGACTCCAGAGATAGATGCTACTTCCTGCCTAAAGAAAGAGGGGATCCATGCAGAGACCAATTAGTCTGCCAATCAGTTCCTTCAGGCCTCCCTGCTACCCCACAAGTACCTGTGCTGCTTATTACGTTCTTAGTGAGAGAGGATTGGAAATGATCCCTTAAGTCAGGTTTTACTGCACTCCAATGACTATGAGTCCGAGTGTGGCACTATGGGCTAATGCATCAGATTGCAAAGTCGTTTGAACTGCAAGGTCGGGGATTCAAGCTCACCAGCTGCTCCTTGGAAACCCTATACAGGGTCACTATGGGTCAGAATTGATTCAACGGCACTTAATAACAATGATGACAACTAGGTTGTTGTTAAGTGCCATCGAGTCAATTCTGACCCATAGCGACTCTAGAGTATCCAAGGAGTGGATGGTGAGCTTGAACCTCCAACACTGCAGTTCAAACCAGCTTTGCAGTCTTGCATATTAATCCACAGCGCCATACCAAGATTCTGCAATGATTATGGTAATTGGAACATATCTATTGGAAAGTTGAAATAAGGCATCAGCACTATGAATCTGTGCACACAAATTTAGACAGGGGAAAGGCATACAATGGACATAAAGGCCAACAACTGCTCTCTGTTTTGTATGAAATTTTTATTGTGAACTGGAAGATATAAATGTGTTCTTAGTTGCATGATAAAACTGCTACTTGGCCTCAAAGTTTCTCCCCAAATTAGATAGTTAAATAATGCTGTGCTTTTATATCGTGCCATGAGTCCATTCTCTCTGCCTCAGTGAGTAAAAAGTCATAGATATTTTAGATTAAATACATCTAGAGCATCA